GTTAAATGTACGACTTACGGGTCGATGGCGCAATCGTGTCCAATGTACGTACGTACGACCTTCCTCATTCCTCGTGGCCACGCATCCACACTTATACACTCACTCCTCAACGTATGATCCTAACAATACCGGACGGAACTCGGTTTATATTATCTATTCTCGCGTTTTGCCCGTATGGTGGCCCAATTAATTAATCAATTCGTCGGTGCTCGCGTTACAATATGTTAAATGTACGACTTACGGGTCGATGGCGCAATCGTGTCCAATGTACGTACGTACGACCTTCCTCATTCCTCGTGGCCACGCATCCACACTTATACACTCACTCCTCAACGTCTGATCCTAACAATACCGGACGGAACTCGGTTTATACTATTTATTCTCGAGTAGGAAAAGTTACAATCTCTTTGGTATACTCGCTCGCAGTGATAACTTTGATAAGCTAGCGCGGACTTGTTCCTATCGAAGGAGAGTACGAAGTGATCCGTCGGTTACGTGATCGATCGTCGATCCTCCGGTTACGTAACCGGCGGATCCTGCGCCTGCGTAAGGTCCTCGGACCTTCTCGAATATTCCTACGCGTGAGGGCATATGTAACCGGTACAACCGCGAAATTTGTACGGTTACAATACGTACATAAGCGAATGCGGAGAAATATTGTCATATGTGATAATGAACAATATTCAGTTACAATGTGAAGGTGTAATAAAATAAGAATGCCACTGCTTGACAATTGAGGGGCCAGTTTGTCACATCTGGTCATCAGATTCGCGGGTAGAAAATTTTTTTAGCTTTTCAAGTGCAATAAAGATATGTACCTGGACGAATGTAGAAAGACTTTGCTTCGAACTCATGTTCAGTCAGTGTTTGGCACGAACCAAGATCATGTCGTAGCAAATCGAGAATGAACAGCTAATCAAGGTAGTGTGTGCCTATCCAGAGTTATATAATTTAAAATCAAGCAAATATATGGACACCAAACATAAAGGCAAGGTGTGGGAAGCAGTAGGGATACAATTGAATGTTGATGGTACGTATATTGACAAGTTGACTTTTATTATATGTACAGTTTGATGACATGTTTTGAAATTGTATTCATTACATGGAAATTATGTGTATGCATGTATGTACGTGTATAGGTGCATATATGTGCGTGTGTGTGCGTATATGTGTGTCCAAGTTCAGCTGAAAAAAAGGGAAAAAGAAAGGCAAGAGTAATTAAAAAACCGTTCTTTATTACAGCAAACAAATGCAAGGTGAGGTGATATCAGAGAGTGCTACCAAAAGTCGCTAGAGCGGTTAGCAACGAAAAACGGGCAGAGCAGCAAATACAATGTAAAGGCATACAAATATTCAGGACAACTGTCATTTCTAAATGATAGTATGGATTGTAGAAAGACCCTGGGGAGAGTATAGCGCCAAGTAATGAACAGCACGGTAAGTACTACACTACTTTTGTTTATGAACAATGTGAACACGTTAATCAAAAATGGAAATATATATGCATAGACACCATATACCAGTGGAAGTTTGATAGAAGAAATTGAAGCCCCACACATGCCAGGCCCCAGCCAACTGGTAAAAGAAAATCACATTTCCAAAGAAAGGAAATGGGAATCAGTTAGTAATTCAGAAGACAATATGATACTGGCGCTGATGTACATAGAAGAACAAGAACGAAAATCACAACCTATAGATGCGTTTTTAACCTTCCTGAAATCTGTGATGAGAGAATTTACCGAATGCGAGTTTCATGAGGTGCGGAGAGAGATGTTTTACTGTGTTAAAAATACATATAAGTCGGAGGATTTGCATTATGAATCATGCGTCTCTGCACGTATAGTACAAATCCGGAATTTATCCGACAAAGAAACTAACGGTCAGTTAGTCAGTCGATAAATTAATTTATTATGTGTTCGCGAGAATTTGAAATAAAAGGTACGGTTAAGCCAAATTGTTATGGCAAATTTCTTTTAACTTGCGGCACTGATCTCTATACAGGGTGTAAACCTACTAGTGGGCAATATTTTAAGGACGTGTTCTTTGGTCGAAAATAAATCGAAAATCAAGAGAGAAAAAATTGCGTTTAGGGCTTCGTTAATTGGTTATTAACATTTAAAAATTCGATGTTTTTGCCCCTAAAATTGACAATCCGCCTTGCATCGACGGACGTTTTCGGCATACGCTCAGCTGATCACCGCCGATCGATGCATGTCGATAACCGAAAGTAGGACCGTACCTATAAGAAATTTGTGGGCTTACCTCGGGTGCTGGAGATGAGAAAGTATTTTAAAACGATGTATCTTGGCATTCAACCTAATCACTCGCTTAATCCGCAAGAGCGTATCGAAACTCGCTCTATGGGATTTTCGAGTCAGGAGGGTGAATGCCTTTTCTATGCGTCGAAACGAAATATCCGCACGAGTACACATGCACCGAAATTATCCCGTCCGTAGTGTCCACAAGACACGAAACACACAGTCACAATCCACACTAAACACTAAGCGCAGAATGACTCCGATAAATTCTTAAGCTTTTTAATCCTTTACGCGACGCACTTGCCACAGGATAACGGCTAAGAACTGATTGTTGGGAAGTTAACAAAAGAACGCACGGTTCCCGCAGGAGTGTAATGTGAAATACGCCTACGCTATTAATGCGTAACATGTCGCGATCATTTGATATTTATTTTACATTATTATTTTAAAACGCATGTTTGAGAAATGAAGAGGGAAATTAATAGAACGTAAAAAACTGTGTTGAGAAAACTAAAAATGTAAAATGTAAATTATTGAAATCATACATTATTTCTTTTTGTGATCCGACACTGCGTTTAGGCATCGATAGTATTTTGTTTCTGACCGCCGTGCAAATGGAATCATCTTAGAGCAGTCGTGAAGGAACCGTCGCGTGGATAGTATATCGCGATACATTGTATGTTCGGTCAGTCAGTTCTTAGCCGTTATCCTCTGGCAAGTGCGTCGCGTAAAGGATTAAAAAGTTTAAGAATTTATCGGAGTCATTCTGCGCTTAGTGTTTAGTGTGGATTGTGACTATGTGTTTCGTGTCTTGTGGACA